GGAGCCACTGGTACTGGAGGAAGAAGTCCAAGGTGCATTGAAGGAATTGGCAAAGAACAAGGCTTAGAAATTGATGGAATAGAAATTGAAATCTTTCAACAGTCTGATGCAGCCCTGGAGGTACTCATTTATCTATGCCAAGAAATTTGAAAGACAGCTATCTGGCCAACTTAATTGGAAGAGATCCATATTTATGCCCATTCCAAAGAGAGTTGGCCCAGTGGAATGTGGAAATCATTGGACAATATCATTGGTGACCCATGCAAATTAAATTTTGCTAAAGCATCCATTTTTCTATGGTCTTCCTTATTCATTGTCCAGCTTTCACATGCATATGAAGTTGTTGAAAATACCATGGCTTGAGTCAGGCGCACCTTAGTCCTCAAGCTGACACCTTTGCTCTTCAACTTCCCAAAAAGGTCTTGTGCAGCAGATTTGCCTAATGCAATACGTCGGTTGATTTCTTGACTGCTGCTTCCATGAGTGTTGATAGTTGACCCAAGAAGTTTGAAGTCCTTGACAACTTCAATCTTTTCTCCATTGATAAGAATGTTGTTTATTGTTCCAGTGGTGAGGATTTTTGTTTTCTTTACATTGAGATTCAATCCATACTAAAGCCTGTACTCTTTGATCTTCATCAGTAAATATTTTAAGTCTTCTTCACTTTCAGCAAGCAAGATTGTATCATCTGCATATTGCAGGTTGTTAATGAGTCTTCCTCCAATACTGATGCAATTTTTTTCTTCATAGAACCCAGCTTCTCGTATTATTTGCTGAATAAGTATGGTGAAAAAATACAACTTTGTCGCACACCTTTCTTAATTTTAAACCGTTCAGTGTTCCCATGTTCTGTTCAAACAACTGCCTCTTGGTCCATGTACAGATTCCTCATGAGCACAATTAAGTGTTCTGGAATACTCATACTTCTCAATGTTGTCCATAACTCGTAATGATCCACACAATCGAAAGCCTTTGTGTAGTCAATAAAGCACAGGTAAACATCTTTCTGATAGTCTCTGCTTTCAGCCAAGATCCATCGGACATCAGCAATGATATCCCTCATTCCATGGCCTCTTCTGAATCGGCCTTGAGCTTTGGAAACTCTCTGTCAATGTATGCTCACAGCCGTTTCTGTATTACCTTTAGTAAAACTTTACTCGCATGGGGTATCAAAGATACTGTCCTATGATGTCAGCATTCTTTTTTTTGGTCAGTGAGTTAAAATGCTGTTTACTTGGATTGGGGTAGTTAGGTAGTTCTCTGTTGGCTACTGAAGAGTACTATCAGGACATTTCCAGTCTGGTAATTTAGTGGACTGTCTATGTTTTGATTGGATGTGGGTGAAGGTGTACCTGATAGAATTTCATGACCCAGATCTAGGGTGTGAGAGAGGAGTTGAGGGTCAATCCTAGGTTTAAGGCCTGTGTGAAAGAAAGAATGGTGGTGATAAAAGAGATGGTTAAACATATTTAGAAATGTTAATATAGTGCAGTGCAGTGGTTTTTTAGGATAAACACTAGAATGCAAACCACATGGTTGGGTTTTTGAGCCCACCAGTTGCTCTGAGGGAGAAAGATAAAGCTTTCTGCTCTGACAAAGAATTACATCTTCAGAAGCCCTGTACAGGATCTTTATGAATTGGAACCGACACTTAACATCTTGCCAGTAGAAACTTAATTGACAATTGATGCCTTATTTTGGATTTGTCAGTCTTGAGTCTTCTGAATTCTTATATTTGAACAATACTGTGTGATGTTTTGGACTGTTGGTATGTGTGGCGCTGTAGAATCAGCACTGGACTGTGAACCAGAAGGTCAGCACTTCAAATCCACCAGCTGCTCCTTGGAAACACTATACAGGGTCTCTATGAGTCAACTCGACAGCATTTAACAACAGCAACATTTATCAACAGCAACAATGTGATGTTTTATGAGAGAAAAATCAACTTATGTTAAGTTACTGAGATCTTAAGGTTTGTTTTATCAGTCAACAGTATCTTAACTATTACCAAAATGGTTCCTTCCATCACAATACAATAGTGTTATTAAGTCTGGATACCTAAAATTGTATTACTCTTAAAAGTTAAGTGGAATTTGAACTGAGTTCTCCAAATCTACACTTTATTAATGCTGTAACTTACAATACCAAAATAACTTATTAAAAATGAAATTTAAGTTGTGCTCCTCAAATCTATACTTTATTAGTGCTATAACTTACAATACCAAATAACTCGTTAAAAATGGAATTTGAATTGAGTTCCCCTAATCTACACTTGATTAGTGGTTTAGCTTACAAAATACCATAACAACTCATTCAAGAGTCAGTCAATTGATATCATGCTATGTGTTAGCGTGCCTAACAACTGCATTGACAGATGCTGAGATTAATTAGTATTGAAACTGAAGAGGCTAGTTTTTTTAGCCTAAGTTAGGCACATGTGAAATTTATTTTCTTTTTTCAGTCACAATGAAATTGAAAGAATTCTGTTTTAAAAACAATTTTAGCTAATCTAAAGGTATTTGAGTATTCAACGTAGAGTAACAATATAAATGAAGGGGCTTCAAAAAGTCCAAGATCTTTTCATTTTAATTTTCCACAGACTTTGAATCCACCTTGTGCTTTTTTATGCCCCTTTGTACCCTTTTGAAGTGTACAGTTAAGTGGTATTAGTATTTCATGAAGTTGTGTAGCTATCACCAGCATCCAATTCCAGGACATTTTTATCATCCTAAAAGTACTCCTTACTTTTACTGGCAGTCAGTCTCCATTTCCCCTGTCCCCCTTATCCCAGGCAACCACTAATTGAATTTTCATCTCTGGATTTCTCTGGCTTCTTTCACTTAGCATATTGCTTTCAGGTCTCATCAGTGTTGTGGTATGCATCAGTACTTTAAGTATCTTTGCCAAATTTCTTGGCATAGATGAAGGGATACTTCCAGTGCTGTATCAGTGTTTTTGAAATATTTCAGTTCTTTTTTATGGAGGAATAATTTCCCATTGTTTGGATAGATACCACATACAGTTTAGGAGTCCTAGAAGGAGCTCTGGTAGCGAAGTGGTTATGAATTGGGCTGCGAACCTTAAGGTCAGCACTCAACAGTTCGAAACTACCAGCTGTTCCGCAGGAGAAAGATGAGGCTTTCTACTACTGTAAAGAATTACAGCCTCGGAAACCCTGTTCAGGGTCGCTATAAGTCGGAACCGACTTGATGGCACTTAACAACAACAACAAGTGTGGCACTGTGGGTTAATGAGCTGGCATGCAAAATCGTTTGAACTGCAAGGTCGATGGTGCCAAGCTCACCACTGCTCCTTGGAAACCTATACAGGGTCACTATGGGTTCAGACGGGCTCGATGGCACTTAACAACAAAAACAATATTTGATTGTGTAGGTATATCACATGCAGTTTATACAAATATACTTACATCTGTTGATAGGCATTTGGATTGTTTCCTTTTTTTCATTACTATAATGCTGCTACGTAGGATGTGTTTTCAGTTCTTTGGGGTAAATACGTAAGGAATAGAATTGCTGGGTCATAGGGTGGTTGTTGTTAAGTGCCACTGAGTTGATACCAACTCATAGCAGCCCTGTATAGGGTTTCCGAGGAGCAGCTTGTGGGTTGGAACTGCCAACCTTGTTGTTTGCAGCCCTCTGATTACCCAATAGCACCACACCAGGGTCTGTGTTTATATATATATACTTTATACATATATAAACTATAGTTCTATGTTTAACTTTCTGAGGATTCTAATTTCTGTACTTTCTCAAAATCACGTTTTTTCCTCATTTATTTTGTGGTACCTTGTAATTCAGTTATGTTATTGTATTCGCTTTCCCGAAAATTGATGTTCGTTGATGTATAAAGGAAGTTGACCACTAAGTTAGAGGAAAATTGACTGTAAGATCGTAATTACATGACTACTCCCTTCATTGTAATCTGCTAATATCAGTGCCATTTGCAGAAATGAACCAGATGAGTTCAGTACCAGCAAGTGTTTTAAATCAGTGCTCTGATTCACAGACTAAACATTTCATTTCCATCCTTAATGATGACAAAATAGACTATATATAAAATTGTTGTTATAGATAATATTTAATTATTGTCATAGAATTTAAGAAATATTTCTGTCTCAATTATGAAATAGATAGGGACTCTAAGCAAATAGTTTATTTTTTTTTTTTTTGCAAATACTTTAATTTTAATGTAAAATACTCACATGCTAACTATGAACACTTAGTAGATTCATTATAAGTTCAAAATGTGGCAATACTAGAACATTGTTACCTATTTTGAACTGTATATGTAGATAATAACTGAATCTTCATGTACTTGTGTTGACTTTTAATTCTGAAAAACGTAAAAAGGTATTTGTGACTGTGGCAAGAATTTTAAAAAGAATGCTTAACTAAACCACATGGTTCTTGACTGAGAACCAGTGAATTACTCTGCATGATATTAATAAAGAAGAGGAATCGTCTGTTTGTTTGTTTTGTAGCTGTAAAATTCTGACAAAACTATGGAAAATAGCTGGGAGATCTTGAAGTTTTATCCTTCTATTGACTTAGTAAAAGAACACCACTTTGTCATATTCTTGAAGGTTTGTAATGATAGTTATGTATGCATTGCACTATGGCAGAAAAGACATTTCTTTTTTTTTAGAAAAGACATTTCTAAAGTATCTTTTTCTCTAAGTATTTTTTATTTGGTAATTATAAACATTTTCTTTTATCCACAACAGATATATTTCCATTTGCTGAGCTCATTTCTCTGTCTCTTTTTTGGTATGTGTGTGTGTGGGGTACTTCCCTACATTTGTTGAGCTCTTAAAATGTCTTTTTGTAAGTTGGGGGAAAAAATCTTAAATTCTTTATCAGTTTTCTCCTTATTTGTGTCTAAAAGGAATTTTATTTTACCCAAATTTATGCATGGTATTCCTGCCCTTAAGTTTGTTCAATTAGAAATAGTTGAATTCTTCTCTTTGTCCCATTTCTTAGTTGACAAAGGATCAGAGATTGGTGTATTCGGGCCGACTGCTTCCGGATCATCTGCAGCTGAAAGATATTCTCAGAAAAGTAAGCTTTCCTGTGGCTATTTGAAAACAGATATATTTAATAAAGTGTGAGAGGAGATAAGTTCTAAAGATTCACTGATACTCAAATCAATTTAGTTTTTAGATATTTAAAATAAATCATTTGGGTACGCTGATAAAGGTAAACTAGAAGGTAAAGAACATAATGGTAGATTCTCATTAGTTAACAGCTCTGTATACCCATCTAACAGCCAGCTCTGAAATATATGTTCAAGTATTTGGCATCATTTGTAAGAAAGCATTGTTGAATCCTCAGTAGAGCAGGGGCAAGAATGTTCAAGTAGTGGTGAAGGGTTTTCACTGATAACCAGACTTTCCTCTAAACCTCCTTTTGATCAAACAAACATGACATTTTGATACAGGTAACTTGGGTTAGGAGGAGCCCTGGTAGCATAGGAGTTACAAATCGGGCTAAGTACAAGGTTAGTAGTTCAAATCTACCAGCTACTCCTTGGGTGAAAGGTGAGACTTTGTGGTCCCGTAAAGATTTTTTTTTTTTTCTTTTCCTTATTTAAAGGTTGTTTTTATTTGTTGTTAATACATAAATAAAACATTTGCTAGTTTAGCATTTTTTCACTTGGACAGAGGACAAAGTAGAACTGTCCCATTGGGTTTTCATGACTAATTTTTATACAAGCAGACTGCTATATTGTTCTCTCATAGAGCGGCTAGTAGGTTCAAACTGCCAACCTTCTGGTTAGTAGTCGATCACTTACCAGGAGTCTTACCCTACAATTTAGTAACATCAGTTACATTAATCAAGTTGTTCAGCCATCATCAATGTCTGTTACCAGATTTCCTTCACCATTAAACTCACTTCTTCCTAAACAATGACTCCTCTTTTTCCCTCCCTCTTGCCCTTGGTAACCACTAAGAAACTTGGTCTGTATACATTTGCTTGTTGCTTTATGCTATTGAGTTCTAACTCATAGTGACTCTTTAGGACACACTACACTAGAACTTCCTCCTAAGGCTTCCTAGGCTTTAACCTTTTTTTTTTTTCTAATTTTATTTTAATGTTTTATTGTGTATTGTGTGATAGTCTACACGGGGGAACAATAGCTTTACATTCTGTCCATCATACATCATCTCATTGCTATAGTTACCATCCCGTCCATGTATCATCACCCAACCAAAGGGTGCACCCTGCAATCCTGCCTGCCCTCCCCTCACGGTCCTCAGCACACGGCCCCTCTCCCACTCTGGATCCCTAGTCCCCAGCCACTCCATCTCATCCTCTCTCTTCATGTCATCCTCTCTGTCTCAGTCTCAGGCCTCACTGCTCCTCTGGGTGGGGTCCCGCTCTCCGCTTTTCTCCTTTGATGGTCCCAGGGCCCTCCGCTCCTAGACTGAAAGGTTAATCACTCCCATGGTCCCGTAAAGATTTGTAACCTCAGAACCACTATGTAGGGTCGATGTGAGTCAGAACCGACTCCAGCACCCAACTTGGGTTAGGAGTTTAATTTCAGGAAAGAAAATGAAGACCAAATGGTTCACCAATTTGCAAACTTTGAATTCTGGTGCTCAGAACTAAAACATGTTTCAAGTATAGTTTTTTTGACTGTCAGCTTAAATGCTAGTTGTTTTAATGATAGCTTTTCGTTCATGTTCGTTGTGGAATTTAGACTGTTAGAATCTTTCTGCATTGGAAAAGCTTGTTTGTGAATATAGTAGACTTGAATCCAGCGTTTTTGTTTTGCCTTTTTACCTTTGACATAACTCTTCATGTTGCTCTATTTCGGATCTGATTTAGTTCTGTATCCTCCTTTTGTATGCTTTATGATAGATAACCTGTGGGAAACCTCAAAACATTTGTGCCCACATATCAAATCTGCTTAGTTAGTTGGCATTTTACCTTTTCCAATGTGACTTTTAGCTACTATTTCAACTATGTAGTTTCAGTTTGTGCAAGTGGTTTAATAACCTCTCTTTTCCTTTCAAAAATAAAAAAGAGTGGAATTTGCTGCAGATTTTTTTTATGCTTAGAAACCTTCTAATAGCTGATCTTTGAAATACAGATATGTTTATAATCTGCACATGAACACTTTAAAAGCTTTTTGCAGGCAGAAATTCATTCAGACACAGGTTGACTTAAAATTACAGTCCAAGGACTGACTATAGCACCTCTTACAGAAAGCATTTTGAATAATGCATTTGTATTTTGAATGGATATTTGGACTGTTTCTATTAAAATCAGTGTACCCCTTAACTTTTTTCAATTGAATGCTACCTGTTTAGTTATACAATGTTTTACTGAAACATTCCACAAAGGTAAATGAAATACTGTGAGTTAGTTGTGATTAATTTGACCTTTGGAACCCAGTTTCTAAGGAGAAACATCTACTTTTGGGTGGTTTTTATATTCAGTATTCAGAGCCTAAAAGGCCATTGTAAATTAGCAGTATCTTCAGTCTGCTATTCCAGACTTCTCTCATGCCTTCCTGTCTCTGTGAAGCCTTTCTACAGTATTTCCAATTCCCATACATTTTTTCCCATTTAAACCCCTAAAGCAAGTGTAGTTTGTGCTTCTCACTTTGTACAAAAGAAGGTTTTATATTTTCTTCTCATTGTGCTCTAATGTGCTAGTCTGGTCACTTAACTGTTTTGTGTGCCTCTTTAAGTGAGAGATTCACAATAGAACTGAGTACAATTTTAGATTCATGGTTCTTGGTGGATAGTTAATAACCTCGTAGTTTCTAGTAGCTTTGTTCTTCTTTCACCACTGGGCACCTTGTCTTTCCCTTCTCTTTCCCTGTTCTCCTTTTTTAAAAAAATCATTCGGTTTTTCAGATTGCTTACTCATCATTTGTTTTCGGTTTCCCTTTTTATTCTTTTTTTCCTTTCTCCATTTTACTTGCTTGATCTTTCTGACTAAGTGTAAATGTACTCATGATGTCACTAAGCTAAAATGCTACCCCTTATCTGGTGTGATGCTGTGCGTTAATGCGCCAGACTGCAAAGCCGTTTGAACTGCAAGGTCGGTGGTTCAAGCTCACCAGCTGCTAATTAGAAACCCTATACAGGGTCGCTGTGGGTCAGAACAGACTCGATCTCACTTAACAACAACAACATCATTGTTTAAAGGAGGCCTGATGGTGGGGTGGGGTAAATGTTGGCCTGCTATCCACAAGGTCAGTGGTTCAAAGCCACCATGAGAGAAAGATGAGACTGTCTGTTTCCATGAAGATTTACAGTCTTGGAAACACTATAGGGTCGCTATGAGTTGGAATTGACTTGAAGGCAATGAGGATTTTTTTTTTTTTTTTTGTCATTACTTAGAATATTTTCCTTCTGTCATGGGTACAGTTTTCTGGAAATGCATGGAATATTTACAGTATACATGTATAGTTCAGATATATGCTTTTGGATGTATCTGTGTACAAATGTCACAGACAAAAAATATAGTGTGACCTAAAAAAAAAAAAAACCAAAAGACTGTACCACCTTGCTAAAATTAAGGCTAATGAGATTATGTTGAAATTATTTGAGTTTCTTTTACAGCTGCTGTCTCAAGTTAAAGAAATAGTTCATTTCAGTATTGAAGGTTTATAAGCCTAAGTTTCAAGGTGTTTATTACAGTTTGATATTAAGAAGCTAGATGTTTTTGATGTTGAAATACTAGATTGGGTTAATGAAATTTACTGCATTGTTTGTTTTGCTTCAGTACTGCTTGGTATACAAACTAATCGTTTTTTTATATAACAGTTACTGAGTATTTAAATTATTTTCTAAGCATGGAGAAAATACTGAATTTACTAAAATGGTACCAAAAATTAAAGTGACTCACTTCAAATGGCAGTTTATTGCTAATCAAATGGCTGTGGGAGAAGGGAACTTGATATCATTAGTTAAATATTTCAGTTTAGCTACTAAGTTTTTGAACTGCCTGTTTTCCAGTACCACCCTTTAAATGTAATCTTCTTTAATTTTAGCAAGATGAGTATCATATGGTTCATCTAGTATGTACTTCTCGGACCCCTCCCAGTTCTCCAAAACCTTGCAGCAGTAGAGAAAATCATGAAGCATTGGCATCCAGCAGCAATTCTGTGAGTTATTTTGGGAGGTGTAAAGACAATTTTCTGATTCTTCTTTTTTTTAACCTTAAAATAAAATGAAAAACTGTGCTGTGGGTTCTAAACTTTGATTTTAGAGATCTGATATATAAGTATAGTGGGATCCCTTAAAGCTTGTCCAGGATGAATTATTTGCTGTATCACAATTTACAGGGTTTAAATACAGAATTTAATTGCAGAGCCACTTTGCAGGGTTTAATTACCGAAATACTCAGAAAACAAAATTGTAATATGATTATATAATAAAAACTCTCAGGCTTGTGATGTGTCAGAATTATTTAAGGAATTTAAAAATTTAGTATGCATGTTTTGCTCAGAGGAGCCCTGATGGCACAGAGGTTAAGTATTCAAGTGTTAATTGGAAGGTAGTGATTAGAGCCCACCTCTAGTCTCCCTGGGAGACAGATGCTGCTGTAAAGCTTTCCAACTGTGGACATGCTGGGGGCTGGGGTGGTTCTGCTCTGGCCTCTAGGGGTGCTATCTGTTGGAATGGACTCCACAGCAATGGATATGTTTATTCAAGTGGGAAAAATTGTTTCCATCTTAACTATGCTAAAGCTTCTTGGAGATTTCTTAGTTGAGAATTTTGTTTATTTAGAAATTCCTCGATTTGAGTTATTAATTCCAACTGCAAGGAAAGAATAGCAATATACTCAGTTCTGTCAGACTTAGGTATATGAGGGAGCTTTACAACATTTTTGGGAAAATGTAATTGAAAGATAATGAAAAATTTCCACAAACTTTTTGACACTCTCCCCCCTCCCCCATACAAATCACTGTCTTCTTTACTTATGTAGCTTCCTAAAAGTATTTTGGAGTTGTTTAATATTGAACTTCTTAATGTAGACAGCATCTCCAAGTCTTAAAGACAATGTCCCAGTCCTTTTATGTTAAATTATTTTTGATTTTCTGCAAAGAACTTATTGAGACTTTTGGGTGTGAAGGGAAATGACTGTTAATTCCTTGGGTGGGGAGCTTTCCTACTGCTGAGTGTGCTTGCACTCCTTTAAGAAGGGGAGGAGCAGGTTAGTTGGGAGATCTTCTAGTAGATGCTAGTTAACTGCATAGATCCTTTCATTGATATATTTAATTAGTATAACCTCAGTGGGCATTGTGTTTTAAGTATCAGCCATGGGAATTTAGCTTACATGAAACTTAAGTATGCTTTGTCATAAAACTCAAGACCTTTTAATGTTTCTTGCCTTGCTATATGAAGGGATAAAACGCTGCCATTGGCTTAAGTCTTTGGACACAGGTGTGTTGCAACAGTTATTGTTGGAAAGGATTCATCTCACTCAATGGACTTTCAAATGGTTCCTCAGCCATGAGTTTACGTCATTAGTACATATACACGTAATCCCTAGATTGCAAATGAATTCTGTTCCCAGGTCTGTCTTTAAGTTGAATTTGTATGTAAGTAGGAACAGCTAGTTCCTATCTAAGGTCAATCATTCCAATGTTTGTCTCAGTATATACCTTTCTGTGCATAAAAAGCATTAAGGAAATCCTTTCAGATACACTAAGAATCTTCTGGCTTTTTAGTACAGTAATAATAATAATGTTTGGAAGTGGGTTGCAAAATTCTTATTTATTATTATGGACCTCGAAATTTTAATGTAAATAGGTTAGTTTCTAACTGTGGGTTGCATGTAACACACTTATCATGGGGGCTGCCTGTACTCAGTTTTTTTTTTCATATTATAAAAATTGAAAAAGTTCCAAAGGAAAGTTGTTGAATTCATCTTAACTTTTCATAACTCGGAAATTTCAGAAGGATTTGGAAATGTCTTAGAAATGTAATTGCAAAAGAGTTATCAAGTGAAGTTAGGAATCATTTGTTTTGGAGAAATAAGGCTATGCTGCCAAATATCTGGGCCTTTCTTTTGTTAATTATATTAACATTGTACTGTGGTGGTCTGTTTAATAACTTGTGTCAACCCTCTCCCCCCTCACCTCCCAAGCACCGAAGTTTCCCAGTTTATGTCCCTAAGAATCAATCCCTAAGACTTCATAGTAAGATATATATATTGTGTGGGGTAGTATATTAAAAGAAAGCTCTCCTTGGTTTTGCAAAAGACTATTGTATATAAGTGCCCCCTTCACAACATGGTATTTAAGAAGGTACACATCCTGGTAGTAGGTAGAAAGTACAGACAGAGTACAATTTTAACACACTTGACAGAAAATTATATTGTATTCACATCTTTAAAGTGGAAGAATTAGAATTTGTGTAAAATCAGCAGCAAATTTGGATGGTTTTCAAGGAGTTATATATTGTTTAAGGTTATTGGATCAATAAGGTACTGACATAATTGTGTTGTTGTTGTTAAGTACTGTGGAGTTGATTCTGACTCATAGTGACCCTGCACAGGGTTTCCGAGGCTGTAAATCTGTACAGGAGCAGAAAGCCTCTTCTTTCTCCCACAGAACTGCTAGTAGTTTCGAACTGCTAACCTTGAGGTTGGCAGCCTGACTCGTAACCACTATGCTACCAGAGCTCCTTACTGACATAATTAGAGCATGAGAATTTAAGACTCCTCATTGATCTCGTGCACATTTTGTTAAAGAAAATTATTGATGGCACCTGTAAACTAATAGAATTTTAGAACTGAAAGGAATCTTTAAAATTTAGTTCAGCCTCAGTGAGAAAACGGAGATTCAGAGTGAGGTGTGGTATGAACCGTTAATGTCAGAGATAACACCAGATTCTGCAACTTCTGATTCCTGTCATGTTCCTCATGATTTTCAGCCAGTGTGACCAATAGCATGTCAGACAGTCCCTGGCACACAGCTGCTATTAATGACACAGGAATTAGTGCTATTTTGAGCACTTTGTATGTGTCTGGCATTGCGAAAGGAGCTTTGCATGCCTTCAGTTAATCCTCACAATTTAGTTTAGTTTTTTGTACATAGTTAGCTATTCAGCATTTTCTACTTAAAAAAAAAAAAGTTAAATAACTGCAATTTTGATTTTTTTGGACCCTTAGTCTCATCAGCATGAACTACCTATTTTTTTCTATTATATTGATTTGTGAGTAAATTTCTAAAATTAAGTTATATTTCAGAGAAATTTAATGAATAAAATTTTTTAACAGTATGCCTGCATACTCATGATTGTAATGAATTAAATCTCTGAAGAAATAATTGCATTTTTGTTCGTAGAGCTCCGATCATTCAGGGTCAACCACTCCATCGTCCAGTCAAGAAGCCTTGTCTATAGGTGCCAGTTCTTCCACAGACGGATTAAGGCAACGTACCCTTCCACAAGCACAAACTGACCCAGCAGAGAGTCATCAATTCCAATATGTCATGCAAGGGTGAGTGCCATTGTGTTAGATGCAGTTACTCCTGAGTTTGCAGTTATTAAAATACATGTGGAATTGATTCATACACCTAGAGGGCTAAGTAGGGCAGGATTTGGAAAGCTGGTTAGACATAAGAACCATCTAAGTCAGTGTTTCCAAACTTTTAATGTTTATATTAGTCACCTGGAGATCTCTGTAAGGTTCTGATTCATAAGGGCTTATGGGTTCTGAGAGCTGCATTTTTAACAGAAGTTTCCAGATACTACTGCTCTTTATTGGACCGTACTTTCGTTAGCAAGGATCTAGGTTATTAATTGATTTTTCTTTTTCTTTTAAGGACAGTCTCACTATAGATCTACTTAATGATTCTTCTGGGAAATGGGAGAGTGAGTGAATGAGGGTACACTTAGACAAGTGTGGTGGTGGTGGTGTACCGTGGAGTCGATTCTGACCCCTTATAGGGTTTTATTGGCTGTAAATCTTTACGGGAGCAGAAAGCCTCATCTTTCTTCTGCAGAACAGCTGATAGTTTCGAACTGCTGACCTTGAGGTTAGGAACCCAACTGGGGCTCAGTAATCTGTTTTAAAAGATTCATAGGTGTTGCTGATCAGCAGGCATGGTAACACTGAGGTAGTGCAAAACCATTATGTAATAGAAGAATATGCTAACTATTACATGTGATCCAGAATCTTTGTTGTATTGTAAGTTCCTGTGGAGTAGTTTTCTTAATAAGCTCCCATACACCTAGCAATTATAGCAGGCTTCTTGAGCTAGGCAGTTCCACTGAGCAGTGCAATCTACCACCACAGGTAAAACACACTTTTAAAAGAGTTCGGAGCTTAGGATCTTAGAGAATATGATTTGGTTCTGAGTCATGTCTGAAATCAGAGTATTTTACTGAAGAACTATTATTTGTTAATTTTGAAGTAAAGGAAACATGTTGTTAAGTGGCTATCTCTGCTTGGAGGACAGGGAGGCCTGAAAGGTGGTAACATTGAGTTGTATATAAGAGAAGTTCTGAGAATCTTGAAAGGCACATTTCACGGATGAGTTAAGGATTCCACACAGTTGCTGTATCACTTGTATGGAGTGGTGGGAGGAGTAAGGCTAATTTAACAGATATTCTGAGCAATAATTTTTTCAGAATTGTGGGATTTTCCAGTTCCTTTGATCTCCTCTCCTTTGCAATTCTTAACTTTAAAAAAATATACTGATGTCTTTTGATAACAGCTATTAAAATATAAGAAAGACCATTAATGGCTGTCTGTTAAGTTCTTGGTTTTGTCATAATGTCTATTATCCTTCAGCAATTCTGTTTGTTCCAGTGAAATTGTCCCTTTCCCCTGTGTTTTATTTTTATTCTATAGCATTAAAAATAAAAACTGTCAGAACTGCTGTCATCAGCTATAATTTCCTCCAATATGAATTTATCAGCCATTTTCTTTCTCTGACTTTCCCAGGGCTGAAGAGAGACCAGTTATCATTTTATTAAAAAATGTGACATTTTGTATGGAGACACACATAGACACACACACATTCCAAAAAGTTATGTTTTCCCCATGTTTCTGCTGGTTTATTTGGCTCTTTGTCCCTCCAAAAAGAATACTTCATAAAAACAACCCAAAAAAACAACCCAAAAAAACCACTGTAGGATCAGCACAGGACTGTTAATCCCAAGATCGGCTCTTCAAACCTCTCAGCTGCTCTGTGGAAGATAGATGAGTCTGTCTGTTTCTGTAAAGATTTATAGTTTTGGTATTCTAGCATAGGGTTGCTATGAGTCAGACTTTACTCCATGGCAGTTGGTTTTTTTGGTTGGAAGCGTTGTAATGAAATGTGCAAAGATCTGGAGTTAGGAAACCAAAAGGGAAGAATACACTCAGCATTCTCAAGGTTTAAAAAAAAAAACCAAGAAAAACTTCAAGACTCAACTTGTAATATTGAAGGGTGCAGGACCAGGCAGTGTTTTGTTCTGTTGTACATAAGGTTGCTATGAGTCAAACCCAACTCGATGGCACCTAAACAACAACAACATGGGCAAAATATTGACTGGTGCAGGAAGCATCAAAAGAAGGAATACACAGTTACTGTGCCAACAATAATTGGTTGATGCTCAACTATTTCAAGAGGTAGCTAGCATATGATCAAGAATGGCACTGAAGGAAGAAGTCCAACTTACACTGAAAGGCATTGGTTAAAAACAAGGCTCCATGTGATATCATATCAATTGAAATATTTCAACAAACTGATGAAGCACTGGAGGGACTCACTTATCTCTGCCCAGAAATTTGGAAAACCTGACTAACTAACCTATTGGAAGAGATACATATTTGTTCCCATTCCAAAGAAAAGTGACCTTACAGAATGCAGAAATCAGCAAACAATATCATTAATACCAGGTGAAAGTAAAAATTTGCTGAAGATAATTTAAAAATGGTGCAGTGCAGCAGTACATCGATAGGGAACTGCCAGGAATTCAAGTCTAATTCAGAAGAGGACGTGGAACTAAGGATATCATTGCTAAGGTCAGATGGATCTTGGCTAAAAGAAGAGAATACCAGAAAGATGTTTATACTTTATTGACTATGCTAAAGCATTTGACTGTGTGGGTCATTACAAATGATGGGTTACATTGTGAAATATGGATATTCCAGAACAGATAATTGTGTTCAAGAAGAATCTATACATAGACCAAGAAGCAGTTGTTCAAAAGGGTTGTTGATGTTAAGTGCTGTCAAGTTGGTTTCGACTTATAGCTACCCAGTCTAGGGGTTCCAAGGCTTTAAATCTTTGTGGAAGCAGAAAGCCTCATCTTACTCCTGCGGAGTGACTGGCAGTCTTGAACAGTGGACCTGTGGTTCGAAGTCCAATGCTTATTTTATGGAGACATGGTGCTCCGAAGGGGATATTTGTTGTTGTTGTGAAGTGCCGTGAGTCGGTTCTGATGCATAGTGACCCTGTATAGGGTTTCCGAGGATACTTTTTGTTGTTTTTAGGTGCCATTGAGTCGGTACCGACTCATAGCGACCTTATGCACAGCAGAACGAAACACTGCCAAATCCTGGGCCAACCTCACTACTGTTGACACACTTGAGTCCATCTATGCTGCCACTTGCCCAGTCCATCTCATTGGGGGTCTTCCTCAGATGGTTTAAATTAGGAAAGGTGTGTCTCAGGCTTGTATCCATTTACCATATTTAGTCAGTCTGTGTGCTGAGTAAATAATCTGAAAAACTTGATTATATGAAGAAGAATGTGGCATCAGGATTGGAGGAAGGCTCTTCAACAAGCTGTGATATGCAGATAACACAACTTTGCTTGCTGGAAGCAAAGAGTACTTAAAATACTTATGAAGATCAAAGACTACAGCCTTCAGTATGGGTTACACCTCAATGTAAAGAAAACAAAAATCCTCACAACTGGACCAGTAATAACATCATGATAAACAGAGAAAAGATTGAAGTAGTCAAAGACTTCATTTTGCTTGGACTAACCATCAATACTTATAGAAGCAGCAGTCAAGAAATCAAAAGACATACGGCAGTTGGCAAAGCTCTTACAAAAGACTTTATTATTTTTTTTAAATAAGTTTTTATTATGAGATTTACATGAAAGAATATCAGTTTCACATTCATCCTATCATATTTTATTTCATTGCAATGATTACAAACCCCTCATGCATCATCAGATAACCAAAGGCTACATCCCACAGGCCCACCCCACAGCCGCCAGCACACAGCCCTTCTCCCTCCTTGAGTTCATTGTCCCCAGCCGCTCCATCTGTCCATGTCATCATCTCTGTCTCCATCCCTGGCGTCTCTGCCTCTTTGGGTAGGGTCCCACTCTCTGCTCTTCTCGCTTGATGGTCCCAGGGACCTCTGCTCCTGGGCTACAAAATAAATCTCTCCCCTCCTTTTGTCAAAAAATATCTACCTCTGTATTTCTTACCCTCACAGTCAGTCCTGATGGCAATTATTCACTACTGTACCACAAGAGTCTTATCCCCATTTCCTGTTGCCAGCCTGGTCCCAATAGATTGGAAATCATTCAGTGATGATTCTATCTTCACCGGCCCCATCTGGAGCTAGGCTCCCTCTTGAAAGCTTGTAAGCCAGTCACTTCTTGCCTTTATAGG